GTCCACGTGTTTCTATGTGTGTGGGTCGATGTCTGTGTGTAAGTCCATGCTGTGTATCTGCCTTTTTCGCCCGGGCAACGCCGCGTACTTTCCGCTAGTACAAAATAAATGCATCATTTTGTATTTCGACGTTCATGTTGGACACAATTTGTTGCGTCAATGTTTATTTTCGTGTCGGGAGTCGGTATCACGAGACAAAGTACTCACTTAAGTGCCCTCTCTGGTCCACACAGGAGGCGGCAGCGTTTTGCCACACGGCTGAACTTAGTTCTGACCACACGCCGTGTCAACCCCTTACCAGTGCCCTCCCTACCTTATTACAGACCAATTCAGACATTATACTCGTTGGTTCTTTCGGTAAAGTCACGTAGGTATAAAATGTTATTTTATTTTATAAAATGTTATTTTATACCTACGTAACTTTACCGTAGGTATAAAATGTTATTTTATTTTATATCTACGTAACTTTACCGTAGGTACACAATTTTATTTTATACCCACGTGACTTTACCGAAAGAACCAAAAGAGTATGGATTCATGCAGTAACGAAAGCTTCGAATCAAGATTGAATTCTGACCTTATTGGTCACCCCGTGCCCCTTATAGATCTCAACGTTTATCCTACAAAGTCCCATCACAAGGGAGAAACACAAATAGAACGTTTTTTTTTGCCCGCATTGAAAGGGCTGTACGCCGCATAGACCTGAAAACTCAATTTCCCTGTACAAGAATCCGGGGTAAACCGTACGGGTGGACACGGCATGTGCCACTGGGAGTGTTGTTCGAATGAAAGTGAAACCGATATTTATTTTAAAATTCTCAAGATCTCAAAATGTTTCCTAAATAAAGTTGAGATCCAAATTCAATTGTGATGGGGTTTTTATTTTTGTGCCATCATTACGGTGTGTCTGAGACGATCGGTTTAAAACACATTCCTGCGGAGGGAGCTGGTAGGAACGTTGGGTTGCTCGGTCAATGGCCTGCAGGGTCAACGGCGGCGTGGTGTATTCGCAAATATGCCCGACTGTGAGGGCGGCACAAGCCGGCGTGAGTAGGTTAAACGTTGAGTTTTATAAGGGCACCACGGGGTGACCAGCCCCTCCCCACCCAGCCCCACCCCTCCCACCCCCCACCCAGCCCCACCCTCCCTACCCAGCCCCACTCTCCCCATCCAGCCCCACTCTCCCCATCCAGCCCCTCCCCACCCTCCTCTCCCCACCCAGCCCCACCCCTCCCATTTTTTGATGCACGACAGACGGACGGACACAATAATCCCCTGTGGGCTGGTGGAACCAGGTGGTTCCTACCAGTATCATAGGTTGCTGCAAAGCCTGAAATCGAATGATAGCATCTCGGCAGTGGTGACTCGGTGTCTGACCTCTGAGCCAATCCCGGACACACCGTCATCATCTCGATCTTTGACATCCACAATAGCGGTGTGGTTTTTATTATTACACACTTTCTATTAACTCACTCTGTCTGTTGTTTTTGTTGTCGTTGTTGTATTCTCAAATCTTGTAACTCAATTTTAACCCACTTCTCAATGTGGTATCGATTGCAAACTTCGTATACTTATGTCATACTGATGACAATACTATATTGTCATAAAAATAAAAAATATGTTTTTAAACAATATTTGTACACGTTTCTATGAACTTTGTCTGTTGTTGTCATATCCTCAAATCTTGTAACTCAATTTTAACCCACTTCCCAATATGGTACCGACTGCAAACTTGGTATATTTATGTCATACTGATGACAATACTATATTCGATCATTAAAATTAAAAATAAATATTTTTAAACAATCTTTTTATATGTTATGTTTCGGCTTGGGTCTAATTGTCCACGCTCAACTGACATTTTCTGTAAATCACCACGGCCCCTCACGTTGTGGCAAACTTCGGGGCCACTTCCTGGAGTCGTGGAGTTCTGCCATTACTCGTACATTTCATTAAAGCGTGTTTTTAAAAAACCAGTACTAGTAAATATTACTTATTTTGGGTTAGATCGCGTCAATATACAAATGTTGTGTCGTTAAACCCACCACCACCCGACACGGCCAATTGGCAACGTTTGTTCACGTAAACAAAACATGAGAATTCGTTACGAGAACAGCCACGCAGCGGTGTGTTGGAGAGTAACCCCACAACATTCACAATTCGATCACTCTCCAAACACACAACCGGTGTGTGCTGTGGTTGGGTGGTGGCGGGTTTACCGACACATTTATATATAATTATGATGATTATGATGATATGATACTCCGACTGATGCTCTTGCTGTTGTGGAGTGACTCATGCAGCCAGCTATGGCTGCAGGGTATTGGGTAGTACATGTTGTTTATTGCTAAAATTCCGTCACAGTTTCCTATGATCACTGTTTCATTGCTTTTATGGCTTTATTTTGGCGATTTCGAAAACGTTTTTTGGTTTGGCCATGTTTGTTTGTTGTAGTACGGAGTTAGACTGATGGCCTTAATCTAAGTTGTCTTGTGGTTGTTGTTGTTTGACCTGCATCCCACTGGGATTTTTCCACAGAGCGTTGGAGTACGGTGTTTTTTCTGCAATATTTTGCTGTCTTTTATAGGATTTCTGTTTGCACTTAGTCACATATTCACTTTAAGATGTTTTCTTGTTCATGTTTTTGTTTTTTGTTTGTTGCGGTTGCACCCGATTCAAGAGCCGAATGGCTCACAGGGCTCTACCTAATCAATGAACTTGAACATCCTTACGCGATCTAACCCAAGACACCTCATAATCAACGTTTTTGGGTTTAGATCGCGTTATTTATAAATGTGTCGTAACCCTCCACCACCACCCGACACGGCCAATCAGTAAAAAAGTGTCACGTTGACAAAAGACAAATAGTTCACTGCTTTAGCCCACCGGTGTGTTGAAGCGTGAAACCACAACATTTTACAATTTGAGTACCACGTTTCGCTGGTAATTGCATCCAGCATCGTCGGGCAATTCGCCAATTACCAGCGAAACGTCGTACTACTCAAATTGTAAATTGTTGTGGTTTCAACACACCGGTGGGGGCTAAAGCAGTGAACTATTTGTGTTTTATCAACGTGACACTTTTTTACTGTTTGGCCGTGTCGGGTGGTGGAGGGTTACGACACAATTATAAATAACGCGATCTAAACCCAAAAACGTTGATTATGAATAATATTGGTCGCGAAAGCCTGCTACGTGTTAAGCTAAGACACCTAGCTTATGGATTACATTGGTCGCGAAAGCCCCCAACTACTGCCGCCACGTGTGAAAGTGCTGGACATAGAAACGCCCTAACAGAGTGCTTGGTGGACATTCCACATGTCCATGCCGGGAGAAGTCTGGGCGAAACGGCGCGATCGATATCAGACGCAGCAAGGGTTGTTACATCCACTCCTGGAGAAGCCGCCGTGGTTCCTTAAGATTCCGCAATGCAATGCTCTAGACCAGGGGTCGGGAACCTTTTTGACTGGGAGAGCCATAAAAGCCAAATATATTGCATTGAGAGCCATATAGTATTTTTAACGTGTAATAAATTAAATATGTCTTACTTTTAATGTGACTTCTGGTGCTGCATTGTTTTGCTGATGGCCTTGTAGTCTGGTTCATACGTTGGTGAGGTTGAGCTTCATGCAGGCGTGACCCGTGAAATGTATCTTCAAAACTAATTTCTGTTTACTTTAAAATGACACAGTATTATTAAACAATATCACAAGTATTTTAAAATCAGTTCCAAACTGATTTTTTATTTTTTTATTATTTTTTTTTCAACTCAAAATTGTCTGGGAGCCATATGCCGTCACTGGAAGAGCCATATATGGCTCGCGAGCCATAGGTTCCCGACCGCTGCTATATACATACATTACACACACACATATATATACATTGTACCCAATAAGAAAAACAAATGCGGGTGGACATTCCACGTTTCCGGGCCGGGAGAAGTCCATCCAAAACAGATCACAATTTCAATGGCACGGCGTTGCATATGCACGTGGCCCGAGCGATTTGACCGCGGCTGATTAAGATACGCGGTCGATGATGCCCATTCCACATTCCGAGGCCGGGGGCCTGAAAATGTAATTCTGAAGCGGTGTAAAAACGCTTACACATTTCGATTTAAAGCTTTCGTGAGTGCAGGGATTCATCTTCTTGGTTCTTTCGGTAATGTCGTCACGTAGAATGGAAGTAATAAAATAATAAAAATTAAACATAATAAAATACAATTCTCACGACGTTTCGGCCACAACGCAAGCAGCCGTCCTCAGGTGGAGACCTGTTCTTTTCGACAGCCCTGTTCTTCACCTGAGGACGGCTGCTTGCGTTGTGGCCGAAACGTCGTGAGAATTATTTTATTATGTTTTATTTTTATTATTTTATTATGTTTCATTTTTATTATTTTATTATGTTTTATTTTTATTATTTTATTGTTTTATTTTTATTATTTTATTATATTGAATTTATTTTATTTTATTATTTCCATTCTACGTGATGAATTTACCGAAAGAACCAAGAAGTTGAACGCTTACACAGCATGCATTTAATTTTAAAATGTCAACTATTAGAACTGAACTGCATATCGAAAACGAGCCTAATGTTTACACGCAACACGCCCAGAGTGTCGTGGCTACATTCCACGTTACTATGGTCGGGGAAATGACATTCGAAACGACGGCGTTAAAGCGTGAACGACAAAAATAAAGATACGCACAGACACACAGATATATCGATATTAGCATATACGTCTCAAAGTCAGCAGCAGCAGCAACAAGAGGAGCGTCATTCCACATTCCCTGTCGGGGAGAAGTCCATCCAAGGCGTTATGTGTGGGATGTGAGGAGAAGGAGGGGTGGGTGATGGATAATCGATACAAATTGCTCGCTCAATTTGCGAACCGCATTATTGACGAACTCGTAAATGTCAAAGCAATTAATGTAACTGTACGCAAAATAGTTAAACGTTTCACGACCACCCCCTCCCTCACGCAGCCGCACTGTACTCACCAATGGCCGTTCGTGTTGCGAATCTCAAATCATCAATCCAAGTCGCTCCTCGGGGCGATTATAATCATCACGACGACAGATTAAACTGTTACGATCTCAAGCTTTGCTCCACCCCAAACGTATCGTTGTTTGTATCAAGAGCGAGAGACGAAATCCGTCGACAGAAAATGTTGACGCATCGATTTCTGTTTTTTCGTTGTCGTTTTAAAGTCCCCGTTTAGATTTCCCACAGCGGTTGGGTGGCGGTGCGGTCGCTGCCAGCCGTCTGATTGGTCGAGGCGGCCCGAGGGTGGCTTTTATATGGCGCACGCTCGACCAATCGGATGCGTCGCTCGAGAGGAACGGTGCTTATACGGTCTACGGATTCCAATGCTTGTATCTCCAACAACGTTGACAGAATTGTATTCTTGGTTCTTTCGGTAAAGTCACGTAGGAAGGGAAATAATTAATAATAAATTATGTAAAATATTATATAAAGAACCAAGAATATGAATCCCTGCAGTCACGAAAGCTTTAAATAAAATAAAGTTACAGAATTGTTGTTAATTCTGGTAGGAACCTCCTGGTTCCACCAGCCCACAGGGGATTATTGTGTCCGTCCGTCGTGCATCCAAAAATGGGAGGGGAGGGGCTGGGTGGGGAGGGTAGGAAGGGGCTGGGTGGAAAGGGTGGGGCTGGGTGGGGAGGAGAGGGTGGGGCTGGGTGGGGAGGGGAGGGTGGGGGAGGGGCTGGGTGGGGGAGGGGCTGGGTGGGGAGGGGAGGGCTGGGTGGGGAGGGGAGGGTGGGGAGGGGCTAGGTGGGGAAGGGTGGGGAAGGGCTAGGTGGGGAGGGTGGGGAGGGGCTGGGTGGGGAGGTGAGGGAGGGGCTGGGTGGGGAGGGGAGGGTGGGGAGGGGCTGGGTGGGGAGTGGAGGGTGGGGGAGGGGCTGGGTAGAGAGGGTGGGGCTGGGTGGGGAGGGGAGGGTGGGGAGGGGCTGGGTGGGGAGGGTGGGGAGGGACTGGTCACCCCGTGGTGCCCTTATACAACTCAACGTTTAACCTACTCACGCCGGCTTGTGCCCGCCCTTAAAGGGAGAAACACGGAAAATGTAGATAAATTATTTCTAGATTTGAAGCATTCGTGACTGCAAGGATTCATTATCTTAGGTTTTTTTCGGTAAAGTCACGTAGGTAAAAAATTGTAATTAATAAAAGTAAAATAAAAATAAAATACAAATTTTTACCTACGTGACTTTACCGAAAAAAACCTAAGAATATGTAGACAAATTATGTGTATTAAATCCTTTATATTAAGTTCACTTGCTTGCTTGCGTGCTTGCTTGCTTACGACCGTGCAAATCTTTCGGTCGTTTTTTAACCCACTTCCCGTGATCCAATCGAGCTGACATTTTGCACACAGACTCGTTGTGTGAGACAATTAATTTTCGTGAAAAAAAAATTCCACAATTTTACACTGTTTAAGGAAATGTTTTTAAATATTTAATCACCAATTGCTTAATGGTGGCAGACAATCATCTGACCCATAGGTGGCAGCCATCTCAAGCCAGAGGACGAGAGGATTCTAGCCGCCCCGATGCCACGCATATAAAGGATTTATAGTGAAAAACTTTGTTTTTACGGGTAAATTTTTTGCCCGTATTGAAACGGCTGTACGCCGTATGGTCCTGAACACTCAATTTCCCTGCCACAAGGACACGGGTTAAACCGTATAAACTTGACAGGTATGACCAACTCAGTAAAAGATCAAGAGAGAAAAACATTGCTAAACATCTAAAAAATTCCCAAAACAATCATTACAAAAAAAGTTCTGAGTTATATATATCACGCGACTCGAAACATGCATCGTTCACTTATCGTTCAAGATTGTTCGACGGTTATAAAGCAATAAACTTAATAAATCCACAAGGGCTTCTCACCACCACACGAATAAACATCGCGTCAGCCTCGTGTCGCAATCGCGCGCGCGCCACCACTTGCGGCAGTGAAACATCCTCGCAACTCGCAGAGGTTCTCAGAGCGGTCTCCCCAGGTTCGTATTACCCAATAGACCACATTGGTCAATGTTCATAGGGCCCATCTCACTCACTCACCCACTCACTCACCCACCCACTCACTCACACACTCACACACCCATTCACTCACTCACCCACACACTCACTCACTCACACACTCACTCACACACTCACCCACTCACTCACACACCCACTCACACACTCACTTACCCACTCACTCACACACCCACTCACTCACTCACCCACCCACTCACTCACTCACCCACCTACCTACTCACGCACACACTCACTCACCCACTCACTCACTCACCCACTCACTCACTCACACACCCACTCACTCACCCACTCACTCACTCACCCACTCACCAACTCACCCACCCACTCACTCACACACTCACTCACCCACTCACTCACTCACTCACCCACTCACTCACTCACACCCACTCACTCACTCACCCACCCACTCACTCACTCACCCACCTACCTACTCACGCACGCACTCACTCACCCACTCACTCACCCACTCACTCACTCGCCCACCCACCCACCCACTCACTCACCCACCCACTCACTCACCCACCCACTCACTCACCCACTCACTCACTCACTCACTCACCCACTCACTCACTCACTCACCCACTCACTCACCCACCCACCCACTCACTCACCCACTCACTCACACACTCACTCACCCACTCACTCACACACTCACTCACCCACTCACTCACTCACCCACCCACCCACTCACTCACCCACTCACCCATCTACTCACTCACTCACCCACTCACTCACCCACCCACTCACTCACCCACCCACTCACTCACCCACTCACTCACTCACTCACCCACTCACTCACTCACTCACCCACCCACTCACTCACCCACTCACCCATCCACTCACCCACTGACCCACCCACCCACTCACTCACTCACCCACCAACCCACTCACTCACTCACCCACTCACTCACACACTCACTCACCCACTCACTCACTCACCCACCCACCCACTCACTCACTCACCCACTCACTCACTCACTCACCCACCCACCCACTCACCCACCCACTCACCCACCCACCCACTCACTCACTCACCCACCCACCCACTCACCCACCCACTCACTCACTCGCCCACCACCCACCCACCCACCCACTCACTCACCCAGCTGCCCACTCACCCACCAACCCACCCACTCACTCACCCACCCACCCACACACTCACTCACCCACCCACCCACCCACTCACTCACCCACCCACCCACCCACTCACCCACCCACTCACTCACCCACCCACCCACTCACTCACTCACTCACCCACCCACCCACCCACTCACTCACTCACCCACCCACCCACTCACCCACCCACTCACTCACTCACTCACCCACCCACCCACTCACTCACTCACCCACCCACTCACTCACTCACTCACCCACCCACCCACCCACCCACTCACCCACTCACCCACCCACTCACTCACCCACTCACCCACCCACTCACTCACTCACCCACCCACCCACCCACTCACTCACTCACTCACCCACCCACCCACCCACTCACTCACTCACTCACCCACCCACCCACCCACCCACTCACTCACCCACTCACTCACTCGCCCACCCACCCACTCACTCACCCACCTGCCCACTCACCCACCAACCCACTCACTCACTCACCCACCCACTCACTCACCCACCCACCCACCCACCCACTCACTCACTCACCCACTCACCCACCCACTCACCCACCAACCCACCCACTCACTCACTCACCCACCCACTCACTCACCCACCCACCCACCCACGCACTCACTCACCCACTCACTCATTCACTCATCCACTCACTCACTCACCCACCCACTCACTCACCCACCCACCCACTTACTCACACACCCACCCACCCACTCACTCACCCACCCACTCACTCACTCACCCACCCACCCACCCACTCACCCACCCACCCACTCACCCACCCACCCACTCACTCACTCACTCACCCACCCACTCACTCACTCACTCACCCACCCACCCACCCACTCACTCACCCAGCTGCCCACTCACCCACCAACCCACCCACTCACTCACTCACCCACCCACCCACTCACTCACTCACCCACCCACTCACTCATCCACTCACCCACCCACTCACCCACCCACTCACTCACCCACTCACTCACTGCGCACCGCCTGAGGGTGCGAGATGCCCTTCCTGGTGGGGTAGCGAGGCATGGCCAGATTTGTTTAGAAGGAAAATCATCGAAAACACTAATGAAGTTACAACTTACTTTGTTTCATCAATCCCTATGTATTCATTAACATAATACATTTTCTTGGTTTGTTCGGTAAAGTCACGTAGAAGGGAAATAAAACAATACAATTCTCACGACGTTTCGATTGCAACACAAGCAATCATCATCAGGTGTGATTCCAAGAACACAGGATGAGATGTTACTATCCTTTGTGCAAGCACTTCCAAGAGTTCATGAACAGTGAGCCTGGTGAAATTTGGGGAGCGCATCGTCAGTAGTGAACCTTTGGTTCCTAGGGTGTTTCGGCCTTTCACACTATACACCCTCCCCAAAGGCGGCCAGCGACAGGGTGATCAATCCTACGCTTGCGTCCCATTCCCAATTAGTCATAGGAGTTGCCTTGTTGTTGATAGCCAACAAACCACAGTAGTCACGAAAGCTTTAAATCGAAAATTGTAAAAAAAAATTAACGATTCAGAAGCAAAGGGGTACAAGGCTGCAGCAAAGGTTAAGAACCGCTGGCCGAGGGCCTTCAAGGCCCTGGCGGTCTCGCGGGATCACCGCCGCTGAGCGGTCCGTGACGGCCCTCCATGTGGTCCAAGGCGGCTGTGATGCAAAAGCACGTTGACAACGGTTTTTTAAATCCTTTATATTAAGCTCGCTTGCTTGCACGCTTACGACCGTGCAAATCTTTCGGTCGTTTTTTAACCCACTTCCCGTGATCAAATCGAGCTGACATTTTCCACACAGACTCGTTGTGCGTGACAATTAATGTTCGTGAAAATTTTTTCCCAAAATTTTACACTGTTTAGGCAAAAAAACAATATTTTACATGTATTCAAATAGAACTCATTCATGGCTTTGGCTGAACGTCACAGTGTAGGAGCCCAGAGCGTGACACCTCCACAGGCCGTGGCGGAGTAGCGCAGTTGGTAGCGCCCTCGCTTCCCATGCCAAAGGTCGCGGGAT